ATATTTATATATATTGTTGAATGGTTTCGGGAGAGATACATTAATTGAATGAATACTTTTTGCAGAGAATGTAGAGTAGGCATGCCCAACTCATTTCTCCCCACCTCGCGCAATAGTCACAATAACTCAGCGGACCATAATGCGCTCATACTATTTAACCATGTTTTCTATGATTCAGTATAAAAAAAGATTGCATACCGTAGTGAAGGTTTCGACAGAGACGGGAAAGAATCCGGCAGCGGTTAAACAGCACGGCTTCCCGGATCTTACTATAACCATTATCAAGTCCTTCCGTAGACTCGTACCGATCCTATTCATCGGCAGATCTATCCAAGGCCCAGAGTATATCGCGGTTCCAACATTCATGCTCTCCTCTATTAAACCGCTGCAGCTGAACGTGAACAGTAGCAACATCAACAAGCTACCCGTTATGTGGAACACAAAAATTAGCCGCCGCGTTGGAGGTGCATCGGCCTACGTATTAAATAAAATGCAACATACTCAATTTTAATAACTAGTGCAAAAGCATGAAACGAGGTTCTATAAAAAATGTAGAACTTAATTTTTTTTGGCAAAGTTGTGTGTGCGATGAAAAGGAATGATTATTATGAAGTACTAAGGGAAATCTAGAAATTAGGGTGGCTACGTACCAAAAATACTTGGTAGCCAACCAGGCAGAGGAGTATGGTGTAAACTAATACGTGGCCTAACACAATCATCGTAAATAAACTGTTCAGCATTTTACAATACATGATCTGGCTCTGATGCTGTTGCACGCAGGCCTCAAACGAGGCGCGACATTTCTTCACGAATTCTAACACTCTCCAGCTGTTATTATCATCCCCCGAGTACACGTTGCTCGTGTTCCCCAAATTCGAGAACCTGTATTGTAGTATACGAAATTGAGTAGCCACGTGTAGATTCACCAAACACAAAAGACTGTCGAAACAAATGTAACAGATAACAACGTGGCACAAGGAGAGAACCTGAGCAGACGTGAAATTTGTTGTATAGTACTCATCACTGTCGACGTAGTATTAATCATTTTGATCGATCACTTCTTTTACTATTTTTTAAAGCGATTGTCTAGCGAATAATTGCTTATGATTTCGTAATACACATCTAAGTGTCTCGATTGTGTAACAAGGAATACAGTCGAAATGATGATGGAATTAACATTTCTTACGAGGGGTCTATGCCCAAAATTCAGGCTCACAGGCAGTAGACAAGTCCGTATTTTTTATCTCTTTTGCTTTCCTTTCTTACTATTCAGGCGAGCTGTTCATACGCCAGGTTGTAAAACACGACCCTCTTAAGTGGATTTTCTATAAATACGCAGTTGCGAATTGAACAATTTTTAATCAGCTTACGATGTACCCTTTCGTATGCTATAGAACATTTAGTCCGATTCCGTCAGTACTTCGATGACATTCCTTGTAACTGTTCAGATGTCAAATAATAATGTATATATTTAATGTTGTTAATATATGTACCTGAAGTACAAATAATATTTCGTAATACGGAGTGATGGCTACGGGTAGATCAACCCACATGTTGAATGGAAGTATTCTGTCAGTTTCATTCTTCCCTATATTTGCTGAAACGCGCGGTAAAAATTAATCACGTAATTAGCTGATATCTTCGATTAAATGTAAAACGAATTAGACAAGGACGTAATTATGTGACACATTTATTTTGTCATAATAAGCGTACCCATGATAGGTGTCAGTACATAGCTGATGACCGTACCCTGAGCGCAAAAATGGATAATGGCGATACATAGGGCGCTGATTCGTCTGCATTCTTGCAACAGTACCATTTCGTTATAATCGTAATTAGTATGCCAAAAATGTTTGTAAGTATACTTAACCAGGCCGAAAAATTTTGTTCTCTGAACAAATATAACGGATAATTTCAATAAAACCAGTACCAGGGATAGAATATTACAAGCTGTATAAGTACAGTCCTATAATGAAAAGGGATTTCTTTTTTTACTAATTATTCAATCAAATAAACAAATTTTTTGTTTTATATAAACGTATACCGTATTAAAAAAATGTTGTCTTGCCAGTTGAGGTGGACTGTCGTTGTTATGAAATTATTTAATACATAAAGAAACAGCATGTATACTCACCGAAAAATTCGGCCAAGAGAAATAGAAATCCCTGAATTGTACAACTACACCAAACAGAATTGCTATCACTGTATAGAGTAACGTTAAGTCACGTGTTCGTTGTTCCTTCCTGTCCTTAGCCAGCCAGAGACCGACGATTTTTAATAAAAACGTCGTTACTGATAGAGCGTAATCTTTATTCGACGACGATTTGTTCTTTTCTATTTTACGCGCCGATGAAACATCGTGGTTCACCTCCTTCAAGACGCCTGTCATTTTTCTTTTCTAGATGACACGTCGACTACGTTTGATACCACCGTCTATACTTTTCCCCTTTCTTCATCGTCTCAGACAGACAGGAAGATTTAAGAAAACCGAGGCTTGATGGACGGGATCCGTATGCATAATTTATAAATAACACACCTGCCTCACCTTTGAGCGCAGGTGTAAAGCTGTTGGATGTTAAACATCATGTCTTTGTCGAATGAAGAGAAATTCATTTCCGACTGCAGTTCGCAGACGGACTTCGAATAGTTATTGTTAGCACTAACCGTGACCTTTTGAAAACTCCGAATAGGATACCGGAAACCATTTTTTGGTCCATCCTGCACGCAGGATATGCTGCTAATTGTACTTCGACCTAATAAGACTAGCATTGTAATATTTTCATGAGGACCTAATCCACATGTGGCATGTGGATTATAAAGTTGTTAATTTTTTTTGGATTATTGCTTTCAACTTGTATTGACTACAATCATGTTTGTATCGTTTAACATTGAACATTACAGATACTATTAACATGCAACGAGACCTATATAATATTATCAGTCATTTGTCGAATGTTTATTAAATTTTTGTGTCCTAAATATAAAAATGTTCACAACAGTAAGTGTAGTGAAATCGATATGCAAATCTTATGTCTATTATATTGTGTGATTGACTTGCTATTCCTTGGCCGAGGACTCCCTCATAAGCGTAAAGTACGACATCGTAGAACTCATCAGCTGTAAAATAAAATACAATTGAACAAATTTTTAATCAGTGCTAACGTTGTACGAGTCGTAAGCTCTCTGTCAGAAATTAAAGAGATCTGATAAGAAAATATTTCCAATATTTGATGCAATAAACTTCCAAGAAAAATAATATTTAGAGAAAAGTAAAATTTATACAATTATTCGACGTGTTTTTCAGACTCAGAATTATACGGATCAGGAACGACGTACAGCAGTAGAAGTTTCCAAAGACACAGGGAAATATCCACCAGCGGTCAGACAGCACGGTCTCCGTGTCCTCAATAGTATTATCAGAATATCTCTTCGCAGCATTATGCCGACTTTGTTCATCGGACAATCCATCCACCAGGATGAGTACGCCGCTAGGCTAACATTCGTACTTTCGTCGATCAGTCCTTGGCAACTGGACGTGAATAAAATTATGTGCAGAAAACTACCGACCATATGGAAAACGAAAATAGTCTGCGACACGAGGGGTCCGTCTGCCTACAACGCAAAAATAAAAATATTTTGAGAAAAATGTACAGACAATTGAATTGAATAACTCTTAGATATTCTACAATTGCTCAATTACTACAAATTGCTTTAAATAGATTCTTATAATTGCATGCAGCTTTAAATTGCATGAACACTTAAAAATGTGTCTCCCATAATAAATTGCTCAAATTCATTTGGAATTTAGAAAAACGTTTCACATCATTGAATGCACAGACAGAAGGTTTAACTGTTTGTATGTACCAGAAGTATCTCGTACGTGTCGAAGCACATAAGCAAGCTGAAGACGACCATGTGACCAAGGATCGGCAGCGAGAAAACGCCTTCGAGCATGTCGCAGAATTTAATCAGCGCTTGGTGATCTCGTATGCACTTCTTCAGCTTTAAGTAATCCTCGTTCACGCAGTCGATCAAGTCCGTTTTGGTAGGTGACTGAAGTTTCAAGAATTTATATTGCAGAATTCGGAGTTGACCAATTACGTGTATATTCAATATACACAAAAACGTGTCGCTGCAGATATAGACGATCCCGATTTGATACACACACAACATCTGTGTAAATAGCAATTTTTCGTACGAGTAACTTATACGAAATAATTATTGATTGATCGCCATGACTGAATAAGAATGGAGAAGCGAACAGGAAAATGTTGTCGAACATATGTCGATCGCTTCTATTTCGACAATCATACGAATCCGACAACCTTTTCTAAAAGCTGAGATCGTCGATTTGATGATCGGTGAGCTATAATACCTGAAAGATGAATACTAATTCGTAGTACGGTGACAGTGACAGCGGCAAGTCCAACCACATATTGAACGGAAGTACTCTGTCTGACTCGTTCTTTCCTATATTCACTGAAAGATACAGTACAGTATGGTGTGACAATAAATGGAATACGGTTAATAAAATAAAATGATATTACTTTACTAACAAACGATAGGGGTAATCGCATAGCCCGCTAGGCTGGCTTGTGTAAGGAAGCTTACAGTTACGAGCCATAGTTTGCAAAATTTTTGACACTGCACAAAAACTTCCTTTTCGTATCCACTGTAATTCGAATGCCAAAAATTCTTCTGCGCGTATAGGACAATCTTCCTGAACTCCATTCTCTGAGTAGTTAAAATTGTTATTTTGTATATACCAAGCAGAATGCACAGTGTATTATTAATCAAGAATATGCAATGCTGAAAAAATAAAAGATCTCAAATTTATTTTGTTCCATTCATTGTCATTTCGTTCTTTATAATGAAATATATGTGGTATCGTTGATCAGTGTCTGTACTTACGCTTAGATCACCCCAGCTGTAATAACAATCAATGGTGTTCACATAGATACCGTATATAAGCGCGAAGGCACTGAGCGCATAAACGTATCTCCTATGGCGTTCCTCTTTATCGTCCGACGTCAGCCACATGCCTGCTGCCTTTAAGAAAAAAACCGACCAGTAAATGGACATGTCTTTGAATTCCGAGTTAGACGACTTCTCCATGTCAATTCGTCCCTTGTAGCAAATCAAATTGAAGTGTCAGTGAACATATTCGGCCTCTGCTCTTTCACACAAAGACGCTTTAACATTTTCCTTTGATGCTATCGATGTAACAAATTATTTCCGTGAGGGAAACCTGCCTCTTCGTGGCGAATTTCACACGTCAGGGGAGACAGGCGCGATGATGTATACGTACCGGCCGATGAATAAATTATGCACTTCTAATTGTCACGACGTCATACGAAAGAAACAGTACCTTTGCAGTGCAGCGTGTGATCTCGTGAAAAGTGAGGGTAACAGGTTACACAGTTCGAGGGTGAAACTGTCAAGAAATGACAAAATTGAAAAGTGTAGAAGACTTGGAAAAGACTTTTATGGCCTTCGAGCGAACTGTCTTCTATACTTGCTGCATTTTCAAGGTACCTTTCTCCCGGGAACAGACTGTCTCGAGAACAAGAGCGAATTCTTCCTTCACTAACTTGCTGCGATGTCTCAGGTATTTATCAAACGAAATCAAATGAAATGATTAGAATCAACTATGGAAAACCTTATTTTCTAGTGCACAATTTACTTCACACAACAAATGCACTTTTACTGTTATATTGAGTTTACAACATCACTGAATATGATATTTTATGTACTGTAATTTCTTGTCATTGTGAGATAAGACAAAGCTGAGCTTATTACCTGAAATAAAAATTATTTAAAAATCGATGTTAACGATTTTCGCATAAAGTGAGAAATTCGTGAATTAAAAACACGACAGACGCGTGAGGATATGATAATAGGTTCAGATAATAATACACCACTGAAAGCTTTGAGAGACATTCCTTTTAATGAATTAACGGTTCCACGGGTGACATCACCTGATTATTACCTACGCTTCCTCCGCAGTTGTCACTTCCATAATACTGTCTAACAGAAATGATTATTATATGCAGGCAAAAATTGTTCTTCTCTCATTTCATTATATTTGGTGGTATCTTCGTTAGTATATGATGTAAATGGGACAGATACCGTTAACGCAT